TAAGAGCGCATGCAGGCGACGTGACTCAGGCAGAGTCACGGGCTGACATCATCTCGTTCTGCTCCATGCTGGCCGCTCCTGAGTCCACTGTCCTCAGCGACATGGGACATCTGGGGCCAATGCCAGTGGCCCCTAGGGCCTCGGGGGGGCCCGACGGAGGAGGCGGCCGAATGAGCCACCCGAGGTCGAGGCAGGAGGGAGGCGCGGGGACCAAGCGATGCACCGTCGAGTGAATCCTTCGGCCCTCTACCTCCCTCCTGCCGATAGAGGCTAAAGAGGCCCGGGGCCCCGGGGAGTCTTGTGCGGACGTCGTTGTGCCACCCCTCCGTGTGTTTGTGCAATCCCGAAGAAAGCGCGATGCTCGGATGATCGTCGACTCGTTCAATAAGGGTGGGTGTGGCGACTTTAGCGACGTGAAGACCTTGGCGGCCGACCCGCAGTACGAGGGCATCTTGAAACCCACTTTCCAGGACAAGGCTTGGGGCGAGCTGGTGGCCGCCGCTGAGGTTCAGGTCAAGAGCAAGCCAGTCTGCGCAACGTTTGCCATCAAGCGCGCCGCGGAGCAGACGTCAGAGATCATCGCGGCGGCCATCTTCAAGGACGATGATAGGGAGGCCTTCGACACTGTCTTGAAAGACGCGTTCAGAAGCTACTACTTCCTCGAGCAGAGGCGCCCGGCGCAGAGCGACATGGTGAAGCTGCTCGAATCACTGAACCTGCTGGTGTCCCACGGCATCGGAGAGATCAATTTGAAGTTGAAGGTGATGTGGGACACGATCGTGCGCATGGCTACTGGCGAGGTCGATGCGCTCAGTGCGAACTCGCTCAAAAGTGAACTCGTCGTGCACTTCGAGGACATGAAACGCAGGTGCTCCGTGAGCTTGAAGGACGCGTGCAGCAACGAGGACGATTGGGCGAACGTAGTCAAGACCGCTTTCAAAGAGGCTGTGGAAAAGCTCCTCGCCACCCAGGACCACCTGCTCAAGTTGACGGAGTTCTTCGAGAAGTCGGCGCAGTTTATCGTCGAGATTGCGACTGCCCTGGCTGCTTCTGACGGCACCATATGCTCGGACTCCCCGGAGGGCCAGTTGCTGATGCAGGCCTTCACTACCATCAAGGCCACCATTCCCCGTCACCAGGAACGGATCGTGAGGGACCAGTTGAAGCAGTTCGAGGCGGCTGCAGGGATTGCGAAGGTCGGCACCTCGAAGTACTTGACCGACCTCGCCGAGTTCAAGACGGACGTCGCCTCGTACGTGTCTCGCGCCATCGAAGTCTACGGAGCCGACGAGAGGCAGGACATGGACAAGCCCAGTTCCAAGTTGGAGCAGGATGCTCTGTTCAGGTTGAACCAGCAGACTTGCTATTCGGAGACGCCGACCCTGGATCGGGCAGGGATCGCTTTCGCTGCGGACGTCCTCATCCCCATCTGCGAAAAGAGCGCCTCCTTCAACGCGAAGACCGCTGCCCCGAATGCCATTGCGGTGCTGGCGGGCAACGCGGCGGTCAAGGGGGCTTTGTCCGCCATTCTAGATTTGGAGACCTCCACGCATCAGCTGCAGTGGTACATCGACGAGGATATGACAAAGAAGGTGATTGACATGGCTCGGGGTGCCCAGGAGGCGTCAGTCCCCTCGCTGGAGAAGGAGGCGAAAGAGCTGAGGGTCAAGCTGAACAGGGCGATGCACAAGCTCACGCCGATGACGGTCAAGGATGAGGTCGCCTCGGACGTCGACACGCTCTACTCGGCCCTCTCTCAGAAGAAGCTGGGTGAGATGCGGGCGCATCGCTCGCAGATCGCTGATATCTTGGCTCAGTTCGAGAAGGTATCGCCGCAAGCAGGGGGGCGCAACTACCTGCGCTTACGATGGCCAACCCAATGGCTAGTCGAGGGTGGGGGCTTTGAGGGGAGTCGGGGAGGCTCAGCCGGGGTTGCGCCATCGGACGCTGAGGCTCAGGTTGCGCCCCATTGCTCGCGCTACAGATCGACCCGAAGTGGAGCACGGAGTATGAGCAGGATATCAACGCGGCGAATGCCCTGAGCACTCGCGCCCGCATGCAGTGCATCAAGTACGGCGTGGTCGCGTTCGTGAAGGCCCCCAACATCAGCAATATGGACAGCGAGGGCCAGATGGCCAGGCAGAATTTGTCCTCCGTGTGGGACTCCCACAAGGGCGACCCGGCCATCGTCGAGTACTTGGGCGACAGCGTGACCAGCGAGGTCAAGAACTTGCTCGCCCTGGACAAGCAGCAGGGCGGGGCCAGGAAGAGGCGGGCGGCACAGCTGCCGGCCGCTGAGCCAGATGTGAAGGTGCGGGGGTCGGTGGGGTCCTTTCGGCATCGGGCGTCGAACTTCGCGTCGGTTTACTGTGGGGCCCGAGGTCGGCCAGCGAGGATTGCGGCATCGTATCGATGTCGAAATCCGTTTCGGGAGCCGCCGACCAAGAGGGCCCCAAGAGGGCCCAAGAGCCCCCCGAGAGGGCCCCAAGAGCCCCCCAAGAGGGCCAAACAGATTTCGACATATGGGCCCAAGAGCCCCCCGAGAGGGCCCCAAGAGCCCCCCTCGCCCCGTCCTGGTATGTCTTCCTCGCCCTCCTCGCCCCCGCCCATCAGTCGTTAGTGTTCAGGGCCCCCGCACCTGGCTCCACGTTCCCGACATATTCGGCCCAACGCTGCGCTGCGAGCAGGTTCGAGGGCCGACCCCGCTCTTACTTCGCTGAAATACTGACCTGCCCCCGTTCCTCTGCCGCTGCATCCGATCCCATCCCTCGGCGCATGGTCTCGCGATCAATGGGTGTGGAGTCGGGGCAATAAAGACGGGGGGAGACGATGGGGGCCCCGGGGGCGGGAGGAGAGGGGAGTGAAGGGGGCGAGGAGGTGGAGGAGGATCATATTCAGAATAATGATATGATATGATATGCTATATGGGCCATATGATATATGGGATATATGACATATGATATGCTATGATGTGAGTGAGTCATATGAGTCACGAGCCGTTCGGCAAGATCTGATGCCTGGGAATGGGCAATGCAATTGGCAATTGGCAATTGGCAATGGCAGACTATCATGATAACGAGGGCGACAACAACGACACAGCAAAAACTCATGATTGAACCATTGTTTGCATGACTCATGGGGGGATGGGGGGAAGGAGAAGTGCGCGGGTTGGCCAGCCGACCCCCTTCGCCAGGGGGCCGAACCTGAGGAAGGCGACGAGGCCGAGGAGGAAGAGGGCGAGCTCGTGGACGAGGACGCCGGGGACGGCGAGGCGGCCTCTTCGGGGCGCGGCGGCCGCGGCGGCCGCGGCCGCGGTCGCGGCCGCGACGGGAGGGCGCCCGGCCGCGGCGGCCGCGGCCGCGGCCGCGGCCGCGGCAGGAAGGGGGCCCAGCCCTCTTGAGGAGAGATCGGGCAGGGCGTCTTAGGATTTGGATGGCTGCAGGCTGGGGGCATGGAGGGAAAGCACAGGTGGAGCGCACAAGGGCCTTCCACGTCTCTCTCTCTCTCTCTCTCTCTCTCTCTTTCCCTCTCTCTCTCTCCCTCTCTCTCTCTCGCGCCCTCTCTCGTCCTTTCAGTCCCCCCGCCTCTCTCGCCATGCTCCTCGTCATCCGACCTCCGCCTTCCTTTCCACTTCCTTCCTCCGTCCTCCGCCTTCCCCTCTCCTTTCCCCCTTCCTCAGGCAAGACCACCTGGGTGAGGCGCTGGAGGGGGGTGGGGCCACTCGAGAGCGACTTGACGCCTGGAGCCCGAGCCCGCCAGCTGCGTTTTCCACGCCTGGCCCCCCGCCCCTCCCCCAAGCCAGCTTTGAGAGCGGCGCTAGAGCTACGTGGGCGCCGTGACTTCTGAGGCCAGCGCCCCGGCGCTGTGTGCCAGCGAGTCTGTGGCGGGGCTCTGCCGCTGTCATTTTTTCGGATGGGGGAGGGGGGCCAGGCGGGTTTCGCGGCACCCTTTAATGTCGCGGGCTGGGGTTGCCCGTTGCCACCGTGCGCTCCAGCAGGGGTGGCGCGGAGCGTGCGTGGGGCGCCACCCAGCGAGGCCAGCGCGAAAGCGCGGCCATTGTGCCGCCAGCGTTGCCGCGCCCTTGCACCGTTGGCCGTTGTCGGCCCGTCACAACCATTCAGTGAAAATGTGCGATGCGCAACCCCGCCTGCATTCCAGAGACCTCAGCCTTCGAGCCCCACCGAGGCGAGCTGCATGGGCCGTGGCGTCGGGGACGGGGATGGGGAGTTATGAGCGCTCGGGGCGCCTCCATCGTCGCCTCGGCCGGGCGCAGCTCATGCTGTTAGAGTGAGCGGTGTCTTAGATGGGGGCAGGGTTGCGCTCGAGCGACTTCCGCCCAGACCTCGTAGCCGCCCACTTCTACCGCAGCTTCCTGCACCTCCGCATCCTCCACATCTTGCCCAATCACCTCCACGTCCTCCCTTCCTGTCCTGCCTGCGACCGTTTCCAGCTTCAAACCAGTTACTCACCAGTTACTTACCAGCCGGCCGAGGGGCCTAGCGGTGAGCCCGAGCAAGATGCCTGCGAAGAAGCGCCCCGCTGCTGCGGCATCGGGCACCTCCCCCGAGAAGCGGCCAACAGCGCCCGAGGCAGGAGGGGATCCGTCAGCTGGCTCATCCACTGACCCCCCAGCTGGCTCATCACCCGGACCCTCGGGCCCGTGTCTCCCGGCCACGCACAAGAGCGCCACGCTCGTCGGTCGCTTCGTCGCCAGGAGCCTCGCCAAGCTCGACCCCGTTGCTTTGAAAAATCTGAGGGCCGTCCTTCTGATGGGGCTGATTATGTCGACGGCGTGCAGCGGGAGCGGGACTCCCGAGGCCGTGCACGCCGAGTTGCACCGCAAACTCGGCCTGCAGGACAGCATGTCAAATCGGGCGGGCGGCAGGGGGGAGGTAGGAGGCAGGAGGGGAGGGGCTGTTTGGGGAGGGGAGGGGGGAGGGGAGGGAGGATATGGGGGAGGGAACTCAGAGTGTAAGCGCCGCCCGCCGCCCGCCAGCCAGGACCCGAAGACGGCTTTCGCTTGCGAGAAGGACAAGAGTAAGAGGAGCTTCTACGAGGGCGTCGTCGCGCCGCACATGTCGTGCCGCGGCTGCATGTTCGAAGACCTCGCCGAGTTAGGCAATGGCCGTGCCAAGTGCTCGTACCACTCCAAGGTATGCTACGTTCCAATGAACGCCCACGTGTTCGTTGTCGGGTTCAGTTGCAAAGATTTCTCCAGACTGACAAGCTCTCTCAAGCGTGACCAGAAAGGGAGCCTGCTCATCGGCATTGTGGGTTCTTCGGGAACCACATTTCATTGGGCATTCAACCACATCATGAGGGCCCGCCCAGCAATCGTGATACTGGAGAACGTCCCAGACATCGACGAGATCGAGAAGGACGAGGATGGCGTCGGCAAAAACGTGGGGCACCTCTACGGCATTCTGGATGAGATTGGATATAGGCTAAGCCTCGCGGCAACTCCGCCTGCTCATCGCCCTTGTTCCCGGGAGGGTGAAGGGTGAAATACGGAGGAGAAAATGGGATGAGGAGGGGGATAATGACGGGATAGGATCGGCTACGGTAGGATCCAAGTGGGTAAGACCAAGTGGACTTGCCGCGCCGCCGTGCCTATTGCCCGCGCGCGGGCTGTCGTGCAGCACGAAGCACAGTGTGTTCCCATCGACCGACTTCGGCCTCCCCCAGAAGCGTCGTCGATGCTTCTTCGTGTGCCTTCGCAGGGAGGCCTTCCACTTGACGGCTGACCAGACCGCGGAGCGGCTGGAGAGTATTTGGCACCAGATTGATAAGCTCAAGACCCCACCGTGTCCGATGATGAACTTTCTGTACGGCAACGACCACCCCCGGGTGCAGGCGGAGCTGGAGCGTCGCCAGGCTACGACGAAATCGAGGGACGACGTGGGCGAGTCACATCGCAGGCAGCTCCAGATGAAGGGCGTCTCCTGGAAAGACTTATCGGTGCCGAGCGACCTGGCCAGCAACGAGTGGTTCCAGACCCTGTCGGCGAGGCAGAAGGACTGCCTGATTTACTACAAGTCCACGGCGCCCGACATGATCACGCTCGACATCAACCCGCGCTTCGACCGCTGCGTCAAACCGGTTGGCACCACCACTCAGACCCTCACGCCGAGCATGGTCATGTGGGTGTTCCAGGGCAAGAAGGGCGACCAGGGCAAGGGCAGCCGCTTGATGTTGGGCTTCGAGGCGATGCGCCTCCAAGGCTTTCCGACCGAGTGGATCGAGAGTGGGGACTGGAAAGAGAATGACTCGAAACTCGTGGATCTGGCGGGCAACGCGTTCAGCGCCACCGTCTTCGCGGCGATCGAGATTGCTGTCTTGGCGACCGTGAAGTTCCCCGCTCAGGTAGAGGTGCCCGCGTCGGAGCTCTCCGAATTGGCGGGCTTGCTGGTGTGATGCTGGCATCCCGCAGTAGTTTCAGGTAGCGCAGGGGAGAGGAGGCGGGGAGAGGGGAGGGGGGTGGGGGGGGGAAGAGGGGGGGCAGGATGAGGAGGGGGTGAATGGGGGGGATCGTGGGAGAGAAGAGGAAGATGACGAGGAGGAGGTTGAGGAGGAGGGGTGGCGAGGCGGAGGAGGAGGAGGAGGAGCGGGGAGGGAGGAAGAGCGAAGGAAAGGGATGGGGAAAAGAATTGAAGATGGGGAGGGGGAAGAAGGCTCTTGCTGCGCCCTTGCACCGTTGGCCCACCCCCGCCGGCCTGTTCGGGCCGCCGCCGTCGGCCCGCGACAAAACGCTGCTGCGGCGCTCGAGCCGCCGAGCGAAATCACTGGGCGCTCTCGATCGCCTCTCCGTCGTCGTCGCCGTTTTCCTCGTTTGTCCTGCTGCCGCTCGGAGGCTGCCGCCGATGCCGCGACCCCCCCGGGGCGCGTTCTGGCCGCGATTCGGAGGCGAATCCAGTCGCGGCGGTAATAGTTCAAGGGTAGCGCCCTGGAATATCGGCCTATAAGCTATAGGCAATTGGGCTATGGACTATAGGCTATAGGCTATAGGATAGGGAACAGTGCGCGAGAGCTTCTGAACGCTGGCTTTCAGGTCATCTCTACGCCGTACGATCTACGATGCCACACTTTTATACAGTAGTCTAGAGTGCACACATCATACACCAACATTGCACAATGCGCGCGCATGGACTCGCTCAGTTTCCGAACCTCCGGGGGTGATTCCTCGTGTTTTCAGAACCCTTCGCAAATTGCCGCGAGGGTTTTACGAACCTTCGGAAGTTGAGTTGCTTAGTTTCCGAACCATCGGGGGTGAACTTGCTCATTTTCCGAACCTTCGGAAACGAACCTTTTAATTTCCCGAAGTTTCGGACTTGAGCCTCTTTATTTTCCGAATCTTCGGGAATGAGCCTCCGTATTTTCCGCGCCTTCGGAAATGAAGATTTTCAATTTTCCGAACCTTCGGAAATGAACTTCATTATTTTCCGAACATTCGGAAATGAACCTCTCTATTTTCCGAACCTTCGGAAATGAACCTTACTGTTGTTCTGGACCTTCGGAAATCAACATTTTTATTTTCCGAACCTCTTTACTTTTCCCAGTGTTCAAACCTGAATTTGCTTTTCCTGATCCTAAAGGGCAATGATCTGTGATCCTGTCAAATTATCGTTGTTGGTGTTGGTATTGTTGTGTGTGTTTGTTATTGTTGGTGCTGTTGTTGTTATTGCTGTTATTGTTGTTGCTATTCCTGTTGGACTCTCATACTTGAGCGAGAAAAACAAGTGCAAATCCCCCCGCGCCGGTGCGCATCGCGTTCCATCCAATGATGCGCCGCCCTTCGCGGAAACAACCTGCTTTCTCTATCAAAGAAAATCCCCTTGCTCAAACTATGTCGCTGGCCCCGCCGGCTGCAACAACGACGGCCCCCGCCTGATACTTGCTCAATGCATTCCAACATCGCGCTTTCGCGCGGGAAGTCCTCAATTCATGCAGGGATCGCGCTCTCGCGAGGGTCTTCCTTGACCTTGAAATTAGTTCAGACGCCGCGTCCTCGCGATTCAACGACCCGCCTGTTCGACCCGGACGCCTGGGCTTGCCTTCCTGGCCCGCCCGCCAGGGTCTGCCCGCCCGATCTGCCCGTCTGGTTCGGTGACGTGTTCTCTGTTCCTAACGCCTCTCCTGTTAATTCCTTTCGTTGTCCTTCCCCCTCCACCTTCCATCCGTCTTTTCTTCCCCTGTTTGACGCGTCGCACTGCGCGCGCGTGGCAGGCGCGGAAGATATACCCCCAAAAGGGTACGATCGAAAACGGAGAGGGCTGGTGAGGAGTGTTTGAGACATATCATTACACTCCGCAGTCGCGGATAAGAGCGAGGGGGCCGCGGGGGCGCCCGCAGCCTGCGAGGCTCTGAGCAGCCCCGCCGCAGGCGCAGAATTTTTACAAATTATTCAACGGGCCCGCCGCAAGCACCGAATTTTCATTAAAACAATGTGGGTGGGTCGCGGGGTGGGTTGCGGAGTGGTCGCGGGTGGGCCGCGGGTGGGTCGCGGGCGGGGCGCGGGTCGCGGGCGGGTCGCGAACCGGGTCGCGGGGGGGGCGACGCCAAACAATAGTAACACCACCAACAACAACAAACAAACAACAACCGCACAAACAACAACAACAACAATAATCTGCATCGCGGAATCCCACTTCAGCCACGCACCCAAGGACAGTGAATGACCGTTCGGCCCCCTCATTCTGACGCGCTGAGTGTTACGCGAGCAGATTGTAAAGAACAGTCTTATAATGAGTATTGTTGTTGTTGCTGTTGCTGTTGGTATTACTATTACTGTTGTTGTTGTTGCTGTTGTTATTGTCGTTGCTGTCGCTGTTGTTGAATGCTCAATTCTAAAGATTAATGATTGCTGGTGTCCGGAAGCTGTTCCGCGCGCTGACGCCTCGGCGCCGGCCACATTTTCTCTGAAAACAAGGCCCCCGTTCGAGCGCTGGCTTGGTTGTGAATTTTCATTGCTGCAGGCCCGGCTGCGGCGACAACGGCTCCCGCTCTAACTTCCTCGCAACTAACCCCGAACACCTTGGCCCGAAAGGGCCCCGAACTCGGGAACGGCGAACTCGCTATAGACTTCGATGTCCTCGCAATTCAAACAAGTTAGCGGAAGCCCCCGCCGCGGCGACAAGCGCTCCCGCTCGATGCCCCCTTTGCAATGTGCCCCGAGACACCCTGGCCAGAGAGGTCCTCGAACTCAGGAGAAACGCTCTCGCTTCAGAACTCTTCGCAATTCAATCAAACCGGCGGAGGCCCAACCACGACGACAAAGGCCCCCTCTAGATGTTTCCTCACGACGTACTCCGAAAGCACCTGGCCAAGGAGGCCCCGAAACTCAGGAACGGCGCTCTCGCTCGAGACTCTCTCGAAATTCAATCAACTCGGTGGATGCCCAGCCGCGGCGACAACGGCTCCCGCCTGATATTTCCTCGAGCTGTGCTTCGAGACCCGCCAGCCACAGACCTGCAATTCAGCAGCGGCGCGCACGGGGGCCCGTTTGCGACGACAGGGCCCCCCCCCCCGACCCGCCTTCGCAATTTGCCCCTAGACGCCCACGCCAGAGAGGCCCCCGAACCGCGTAGGCCCCAGCGCGCTGATCACTGAGGCCTTCGGACACAGCCTACAACAACTGCAAGCGCGCCCGCGCGGGCCCCGCGGCGTCCTGGGCCTAGGTTCCCAGGGGCCACCAACCCTAAAAAAACATCGCCAGCGCCCCGCCTGACACCGCCGGCCCCCCGGCATCCTGGGCGCGAGCGAAAGAGAGAGAGAGAGAGAGAGAGAGAGAGAGAGAGAGAGAGAGAGAGAGAGAGAGAGAGAGAGAGAAAAAAAAAAGAGAGAAAGAGAGAGAGAGAGAGAGAGAGAGAGAGAGAGAGAGAGAAATACAAAGAGAGAGAGAGAGAGAGAGAGAGAAAACAAAAAAAACAATCAAAAAACAAGAGAGATAAACAAACATCTCGCAATGATGGAGAGAGAGTGAGAAAGAGAGAGAGAGAGAGAGAAAGAGAGAGAGAGAGAGAACATAACGAGAGAGAGAGAGAGAGAGAGAGAGAGAGAGAAATAGAAAGGAAAACAATCAAAAAACAGAAAGATGTATACAGAGAGAGAGAGAGAGACAGAAACAAGCATGAGAGAAAGAGAGAGAGAGAGAGAGAGAGAGAGAGAAAGAGAGAGAGAGAAAAATAAATAACCTAGCAAAACAACAGAAACAAACAATGCAAATACCTCGGACCAGCGCGCGCGAGCCCCGTCGACAGCTGGCTACTGCAGTTGCCGAAGCCGCCATCGCACTCTCGGCGGTGGCGCGCACTCTGCAGCGCGGGGGGCGTTGACGCAATGTCTCCCTGGCGCGAGGCGACTGAAGCGCGCGGCGGGTGTCGAGCAGGCGACGCGCCGCTGCTCTCGGCGCCCCGCGGGGAAGAAGGGCCCAGGTCGGCGGAGCCCCAGTTGGCGGCCCGGGGGCAGGGTTCTTGACCGTTGAGCGGCGCGCGAACGACTGGGCGCCTTCTGCCGCCGCGGCCAGGCCCCGACGACGTGGGCCGCGCGGGCAATCGGGCTGGCGAGTAGCAGGGCCTTCGGCCGCGTTGGACGCCCTACGCGGGCGTGAGATAGCGAATTTAACAATGGGCAATGAAACGCGCGTGGCAGACGCGTCGGCGCCAGCGAGCGCGAGGGCGCGCCAGCGAGACGCGCCTCCGCTGCGGAATCGCGACCGCCGCAGGGCGGGCGACCTCGACGGAGGCGAAAGCGACGGGCGTCGGCGCCGATGCAGCTGCGGGCGCGGCCCGCGCAGGGGGGCGGCGCCCTGGCGCGGCAAGGAAGCGGCGCGCCCCATGCAGCGGGGCCGTCGGAGATGTTGAATCAATCGATCTGCTGCAGAATCGGACCGCGCGCGCTGTGTAGTCGCGCTGCGGAGTCGGGCGGCCGTGGAATCGCCCTGGCGCGGCCGCGGCGGCTGGGCGCGCGTCGCCGCGGCGGCGCGGGGGGCGGCGTCGAGCGTGACCTGCAGCAGGGTGCCCTGGCAAAGAGTAGAGAGGATGTCAGCGGGGCCAGCGGGGCCGTCGTCGCCGCGGGCGGGGCGGGTCGACCAGGGGCCGCCCGCGTGGGAGAGGCGCGCGAAGACCGCGGCGCCATCGACGAGCTGGACGGCGACGCGTTCGCTGAAGACGTCCATGACCATGCGGGTGCGCCCGCGGCAGGGGCTGGGCGGGTCGGCAGTCGTGACCTGCTTGTCTGCCTCGACCGGGCCAGGGTTGCTATCGTCGTCGCGTGGTCCGCAGAACGAAGGCGCTCGGGTGGCCCGCGCAGCGACCGCGAGGCCGTACCTCGCCGTCGACGCCCAGCTGCTCGGCCTCGCGCGCGGCGCGCGCAGCGGTCGGGGGCGAGGGCGCCCAGGCGTTTTCAAGGGCCTCGAATATGCTTGCCCATATG